CTCTTTAAAAGAGTTGCACGGTTCACTTCCAGTTCCATATGCTCATTCTAACTTTCGCTTTTGTTGAGGGAGAGATGATTCAGCTGCCAATTGTCTTCCCGAAATCTTTAACTGACTGATGTCATTTCGCTTCTCCGATTCCTGAGAGGAATAAGTTTATTTTTATGTTTTATATTTTGTTTTTGCTTTTAAGTTTCTTTATCTGTTAGATTGGTTTTACGGAGTAGGGTTGCTAGCCGTATGCCCAACCTTTCCTTTTTATCCGTGCTTAGGACGGGCGAATTACTAGTGAACTAGTTACCTAGGCTAGGTTTTCTGTGGCTAAATCAAAGCAAATTATTACACTATCTGGTTTTTTGTTCGAACAACTCATAGCTGTTGTTAATAAATACTTACCAGGGTAGATGTCGCTCAGTTACTATTTTTCTCATGAAGAACATCAACCTACATGTATTATGTGTGAATGCTTAGCTTATTCATATCATATTGTGGAATTCATACGCTTTTCTAATCTATTTCTGTATATCAGCTGATTTCCACCCTACTAGTGCATGATTTCACTTAGTCGAAGTGTGATGAATTCTTTGAATAAGGTCTTATATTTTTCTATTAACTTTAAACCCAAGGAAATCGATCGTCTTTTACATGACATGCGTTGTATGGAAGTCACGTGACCTACCCTTCATATTAAACAGTTGATTGTTTCTTATTATTTTCGTTGTCTAGGTGCTTTATTTTGATATGCATATTTAGATTGACTTATTCAACCGTATATTAAATTATTAAAGTGTTGGTATTTTCTGTGCTGTATCCTTTTATTTACCTATTTAGTTGTTATATTGATAGGTATTGATAGTGCAGTACGTTGCATTCGAAAACGTAGTCATTGAATTCAACACTTTCTTTTTTTTTTGTTGGCTGTTTGTTCGAAAAATTATTTATTGATAGATGTATTACAGTGTCCATTACCATAAACTGGGATATCTAGCGCAAAATTTTAGAAATCTAAGCTCACTTGGTAACGGATGGATATTAGTAGCTTACATGATGTAAGTGGCATACTGTATAGGCGTTTAACTGAGAGTTGTGAAATTCACATATAAATCGTCTGGTAGCTAAGAATTTTATCCACATTTAAGTCGAGTAAACGCAAATAATACACATTCACTTTCCGAATGAGAACTGAAACATTCCTTCTTGATCTAAATGAGAAGTATCAATCAGATACGCAGACGTTGGATTACAGACATACCAGTAGTTCATATTGGGCGTATTTTTTTCCATTGAAAGTGACACTTGATTCTTTCATATCAATTCCCGACTTTCAGGAGAATCTCCACTAAGTATAGTGTGTTACTAACGCTTCTTTTCTATGCCACGAGTTATTGAAAATCAGTGGTGTTCACCAACAGTATCGGCTGTCAGTATCTCAGAAATGTGCGAATCGGTGCAATTGTACCTGCGTTCATCTCAGAGTTTCGTTTCTTGTCAGGTGTCGTTCCTGTTGTCGATAGAATAGGCAAACAATATAGTACGTAAGCCGTGATGTGCCAGTTACCGGGAAAATCTCAAAGTTGACTAAATCGTTTGTTTGTTGTCTTCTATCGTGGACCATTTATGGGGATACCAAAATATCTAGCTGTTTACTGACAAGTTTGTTGCATTATAGTTTTATTTAGAGGTTGTGAAACATAGCTGTTTGAGGTGAATGGCGGGTGTTTGGTCAGTGCTTTCTTTGAAATATTGCTAGGTTGTTACTGCTGAGGAAGCAGTACTAGAGTTGAGCGCACAGTGGTGGTCAGGGAAGGTGAACCCTTTTTTGGGATGAATATTCACCGGTATTGGTCTTTAGCCATCATCTATTTTTTTGTGATTTCGGCTGAAGCAGGTTTACTCTGAAAATGAGGTTAGTGGAGTTAGATCGTGATTCTGCAGTTATCTATGAAGTCACTCACCGTTATTGTGAGTGGTGTTGGCTGCTTGGATAAAATAAGGATGGTTGGTGATCGTATTTGATACGGATGAAAACAACTAGGTTATTTTGATTTGGGGGGTCTGTGGGGATTTTTTTACTGATTTTAAGTTGGTATACATCATGAACTGACATAAGTTGGAGGAACATTGAAAACCTGGGAGCACTGGACGGCTGTTTCGTCCAACTAGTATTGGACCCTTTAGCAGTGCTCACTCATGACCCTGCCCTCCAGCGACCGAACTCAGGACCTTCATGTTCCATGACCACGGCGTTACCATTGAGCCACTGGGTCAGAATCTAATAGTTCATATTTCCATATTCTGTCAGTTTACGACATAGTGCGACTATCACCCAATGTCATCGTTAGTGACCATGAGGACAAATACTCAACGATGACACTGGGTGGTGGTCGCGCTATATCGTGAACTGACAGAATTACGAAATATGGACCATTGGATTCCGACCCAGTGGCTCAATGGTAATATGGCAGTCACGGAAGCTGAAGGTCCTGGGTTCGGTCCCTGGAGAGGCGGGGTCATGGGTGCTCACTGATAAGGAGTCCCAAACTAGGACAAAACAGCTATCCAATGCTCCCAGGTTTTCAATGTTCCTCCAACTGATGTCAGTCCATGATGAATACCAGATTGAAATTAGGTTATTGGTTACTCCGGTGAATTTACTCTTTGCTTCCCTTTACTCACTGAGTATCTGATTTCGTTCAGGTGATGAAGGATTTTTCTTTCTACATTCATGCATAAATCTATCTGTTTGACCGCGTACTAGGTTAACAAGTCTGGTTACATGATGATTGATGTCAAGTTACTGCGATAGATTTAGGCCTTGTTTTGCTTTTGTTCATTATAGAATGAGCAGAGTATGTATACTTGTAAAAGTGTTGATTATTTAATGTATTTATTGAACTTCCTTCCATTTCGTAATCTGATTTTACCATATTGTTGCACTATGAGCATCCGGTGATATATGCATAATGCCGCATTGTTGATTGCAGTGGATCATAGACAGACGCAGAAAGACAGAATCAGCGAGAACCTCGAACACAAGTGCGTTGGTTAAAGTTGCTACACTTCACAGTAGTATACAAAGAAAAGGTGGATAGAATCAGAGTGATATCAAAGTGGACAAAGCTGCATGACAAGTTGAAGATAACGGTTACTGAAAGTATTCAAGCTGTAGATGTCAAAGAGTGGATGCATCTGAGCCGTTGTGACCGATTTTCAGCCATATCATCAAGAGTTCTAAACCACTGATTCCTATCGTCTCTGAGACCCCAGACAGTTTACTTCTCCCCACACGACTCAGATCAGTAGTCAGAGACTTCATGAACTAGTGTCACGTCTTGGTCAATCACCCTAACATCTATTCCGACTTCCCCTAGCATAATACGTCCAGGTAGGTGGTGACTCAGCATGCTCAGTACATGTCCAAGCCATTTCAGTAGGTGAAAGTTTACAATCTCATCAATCAACTTGCCTTGTGCCTTCCTCCTGACCTCAGCACTGATCACACGTAAATTTCACTAAACGCGAGTAATAATGCGAAGAAATCTGTGATCAAAATCCTGTAATCACTTCATATCTTTTACTTTTAATGACTATGTCTCACGACCGTACAACAGAACAGAGTAGACTGCAGCGCAGTATAGTCATCCTCTGATAGACAGTTGGATATCTAACCAGTGGGTGCCACAAATGACGCAAGTTGGCAAATGCCAAACGGGCCGTCTGTATTCGAGGTGGGATTTCGTCAGCAACCACCCCTTTTAGGCGGATGCTGCTTCCCGAGTAAGTGAAGTGGTCGACACATTCCATTTGAAAAGTGATAAATTATTCTAGGATTTGCATAAGTGATGAGTTAAGAACTAGACTGGAAAAACTGCTTGCTACTCATTCTTTCTTCCAGTTATTTTATGCAGATGCGTTGCTCCATAAAACAATTTCGTCCTTGTAGTCATTTCATTGCTTCCGTCCAGTCATAAATCATTGATTTTTCCGAGATTGGTAGTTTTAGTTGTTTTATCCTTATTATTATTATTATCATTATTAGTTTTATCCCTAGGGTTCCTAGTGGAACATAGGGCTTCAATAGCACATCGCCATTTCACTCTCTTCTCTTCACTCTTCTTTCTTAACCTGTCTCCACGACTGTCCAAAACCTTTGGTTTCTTCCTCACACCATCTCCTCCATGTCACCCACCTCTCGGACACCCAACTCGTCCTTTCCCCTTTGGATTACACTCGAGGCTTTTGCCTGGTGCGTGATGTCCCCAATCGACCTTCTCAGTGTATGAGCAATGCATCTCCACTTTCTTCTGTTGCATATTTGTTGGGTGATGGGTTCTTGGTTGGTTTGTTGTCAGCTAGAGTGAGTTCCTTGCTGCTTATTCTTATTATTCTGGACATCTCATCTCATCTTCAGTATCGAGTGAGTGTAGGTGACAGCTGTTGATGCGATGTACATCTGTAGTTTGTTGCAAATTTTTTTCGTAAGGCACCAAGTCTCTCAATCATCACATAGAAGCACTGACTTACTTAACTGACATTAGTGTTAACAATGCAGATGTTGTTCACGCTTTATGCTGAGTGGAGTGTAGTGTAGTGTAGTGCAGTAGATCTCCACACTGGTTTCAGATTAATGCAGGAAGGCCTGCCTTGCTGTCTTTCCGATCCTGGCTTTCACCTCTTCATCTGTGCCCGTGCCTGTGCCTGTGCCTGTGCCGCTCGTAGTGTAAACGATGCTGCCTAGGTAGGTGGGTGAAAGAGACTACTTCCTTTAGATTTCTTCCGTTGATGGTGATTGGTGCTTGTTGTTGTTGATGCTGTTGTTGGTTGGGTATCTTCATCGCTTTTATCTTCTCTACCTTGTTTTGTGCTTAAACTTGTCTTTCTTTAAGCACAATAATGTAAATTCTCAGGTCTTCATTTCTATGAACTTAGCAGTAATACTATAGGCATACTAGCAAAGCTAATCGTTCTTCTCTGCCTGTTTTTTTAAAATACTTGTAAATCAGCACAATGCCGGTGAACACAACATTCATTTCAACAGCTAATATGAGTACTGCTGTAGCTCAGCTTAGCAACTGGCTTACCAATCAGGCTATTAATGTCCCTGTGGGTTGGATTGACGCGTGTGTTGCCTGGCTTGCTGAGGAACACGGAGGTATTGATGCATGTAGTCATCTTACCAAATCTGATTGGTGTCAACTAATATACGAACAATGGCTTCATTCTGATTTGAAACAGTTAGCGTGTCCAGTCCTGCCTCCGTGTGTATCTACTGTTGGAAATCTGAATGTTAATCTGAGAAACAGTTGTACCAATGCAAATAATGGTGGGTCACCTGCCCTCAAGTTGGATGGTGAGCTTTGTTTACAGGTGGGTAGTTCACTTGAAGTTTGATACTTTAAATAAGTGAATATTCGATATTCAATAAATATTTAATGTCTTTTTATAGTTTAGTGAGTACATTACTTTGCAGAAATCATTCACAATACTCTAGGAGGTTCACTTTTTTATTTATCTTGCAGCATTTTGGTCCCTCATCACGTAAGGTTGTTGCCGTTGGTTAATTTTTCAATGTCTTCAGAAGTGATTGGATCCATTCACCTCGTCCTGCTGTTACTTTTCTAGTTCAGTATAAGATATCATGGATAACAGCCTCGGACTAATATCTTTAATATAGACGTCGAATTTGTGTTCTATGGTGGAATGTAATTTCATACTAGATTAGTCAGTTTGATACAGTATCCCGTAACATAGTATTGTCTACTACATGACCTGTTGAGCACCTGTGTCTGAAAACCTATACTCTGTTCCTTCGTATCTTCCACTTCTGACGACCATGATCGTATCTCACATCCATCCAACAGGACAAAGCGGACTGCAGCGCAGTAAACGCGTCCCTTTTCGAATCGATAAATCATAAGCTAACAAGCGGAAGTATCCTAAGTATGCTTCATAATGACAACGATCTACAAGCTCATACCACTATCAAAATATCAGAAATACTAAATCTAGTGAACATTTCCTTATTCATATACTTTCAATTCAATGGAGAGATGTACAAATAAAGGATATGAACTTCAGTGCGATCGATCAAACGTTTCATTGTCATGCTAGACATCGTTATAATTGCATCACAGCTCCATAAAGGAGTCAAGTATTTCCTTTCGCATGCATATTTATAGCGTGCTGTTTTACCTGAATTCGATTCGATTCGATTAGTCCCTTGGAAGAAAACACCTACAAAACACTGACCAAAGCTATCAATAAAACCACTAGAAGAGAAGAAATGGAGAGAAGCGTGACGAGAAATTTCAGTAGGAAACTAGAAAAGCAGTCAAATACAACAAACAACAAAAGTTGCAGAGATACAGTAGTAAGCCTTACTTTTCGATCACTCTCAGCTTCAGAGAGAGCTTTCTTAGAAAAATGACTGAATTTCAACAGAAGCAATGCAATGCTATCCACCTAGGATTCCTTTCAGCTCTAGAATCATCTCTGAAGACCACGAATTTCACAAATTATAAACAACAAGTAGTTGGTCAAATAATAGTTCCGCTGATGAGATGCGAACCCTGAAGAAGCGATTTGAGTCGCATGGACAAAGAGGCGTCCAAATCGCTCAAAGGAAACAAAGATATTGCTTTCCCACCCGAAAACAAAAGATAGACAAGAATCCTACTAAGCGAACAGGAATATATCAAAAAGGTGGTAGAGTTACTCCATGAAAAAACAGCATAAGAGAAAACAAGAATGCAGTCTAAACGAAATACTGGACAATGAAACAAAGCATGAGTTGGTAAAACTTTTTAAGGAAGGATAAATCAACAGAGTAGGTAAGTGGCAAATGAGATAAAATGGGTCAATACTTCCACCATACTATGGAAGACTGAAGATCCATACCATCCATGATCCGGATGTACCTCTTCGACTAAATCTCTCACTTTGAGGAACGCCACCATACAGTCTATCAAAGTACATAGCGGAACAACCGAGTCATCTAATCAATATTGAATCTTCTCAAAAAGTAATCGATATGCTCAGACGAATCGAGTTCACGAAGGAATAAAAAAATAACGGACAGCTGGCATTCTCAAATAACATGATCACAAAAGTTGATGATGGACATTTTGAATTTTACCTAAGTGTTCTACGAAATAAGTCAGATAAACCAGATCCAAAGTCACGACAGCAACAATCCTATGTCGCACAAGAAAAGCCGTGTAGCAATACTGTTTCGACGAGCAGACACACAATGCAATGCAATGAAGTCAAAGAGAGCTGAGAAATCTTCCAACTTAATAGCTATCCAAATGATTTCATCAAGAGATGTCTTTCCAAACGAAACAAATCAAAATCGACTACGAAAAGTAACAAAAGAATCATACATGTCGACAATATCTCGGAAAAAACACTCATTGTTGCAATCACAGTGTCACAGAAACCAACTAAAGCACTGCTACTTCTACATATCATGTGTTAGCCAAAATTAAATCCAGTCAATAGAGAAGAAATGACCAACGTTATCTACAAAGTTAATTGAAATAATCGAGAAGATATTACTTTGGACCCTCAGGTAGACGAGAATTACTATGCCTACGTGAACATAAGCTGGATGTTAAATGTCATGATATGAGGTTCCTCATCTCACTACACTGAGGCAACGACAGCTACATATTGGGTTGGGACAACTTCAAGATACCCGAAAGTGCGGACTCAACACATGCATAGGACCTCGCATTTTGTCGACGTCTTCAACTAGCAGGATAGTGTTGGGTGCCTACTCCAAGTTCGCCCGATGACTTCCAGACAGTAGATCAATATACATGAAGTCACAGGTCCCTAAGATTGTTTTCATTAATACATCTTTGATGAAGTTGAGCAGGGACAGTGACAGCTGGCATCCCTTGCGGACACCACTAGTTATCGTCAATTCAAATGACAACTCTCTATGAGTGCTTGCATGGCTACGTGAGTTCGAGTAAAGAGCTTTGATTGGCGTTATACACTTGTTCAGTACTCTTTCTACGGTCAGACACTACTTCATCACCTCATGGTCAGTGGAGTCCGATACTACCTTCAGGCAAATCAATATTTCGAGTGTCGGCCTCCATCAGGTATGTCTGTGCTCCAGAACTTATTAGAAGGTGAAAATCTGATCGATGCCTCCTCGTGCAGGTCTGAAATCTGCCCGGTTTTCTCTAGTTTGGTATCCTCGAGCTCCACTTAGGCATCGGGTAAGTATGGACCTTAGGATCTTGTGCACTATGTTAGTCAAACCGATTCCCTTGTAGTTGTTACAGGAAGATTTCTCTCCTTTCTTTTAGACTGTGATGACCAGTACAGGAGACCTGTCTGATGGACTACCTATGCCTCTCATACACTACCTAGTACCTCCATGACTCTACTCAGTAAGTGTCTACTTCCATCCTTGAAAACGTTTAGTGGCAAACCGTCAGGTCTTTTTGCTTTGGAAACTCCAAATGGGCAGTCTACATCTCTGTACAAGAATCACACCAACAGTGAGAGATTTTGTGGACTACTGCCATCTCTTGGTCTGGCCACCTTGATCCCTCTTCTAACGTAATCCGGCTTCTCCTGGCATGGTATGTTGAGGTCGGTAGTAGATCAGCATGCTCAGTACATGTTAAAGCCATCTCAGTCGATAAAGGTCCGCAACGTGTGCTTCAGTGTTCTACCCAACTTTCTAGCCATCTGTCTTGAGAAGTTATTAGCGTCTCATCCTTTTTCAGTGGTTGTTTCGCCCACCATCGTCTTCTTGTCAATATCCTTGGCAAGCCTAAGTAATTTCCAAGTATTGCGGAGTGCTGATGCCTTCTCTATCTCTCTCACTTTCGACTAGAAACTGTGTTTTGCTGGTTTGGATGAATAGCGATGGTCGTAGGGTGAAAGATTGACTAAGCTGTAAGATTCCATTTTTATTGATTTATTAGATTTATAACACAGTGTAACAGTATTGTTTACTGGATTACGTTTCGGACATAATTTATTGTCCATAGACATATCATCTTGACTATGGACAACAAATTAAATCCGAAACGTAATCCAGTAAGCAATACTATTACACTGTGTTATAAATCTAATAAATCAATAAAAATGGAATTACATTCTACCACAGTGCACAAGTTTTTCTCTTATATTAAGCTGTAAGATACTTCATGCTAGTATTGGGAAGTGAAGGCAAGGGAGCAGTCATGGATAAAGGGGTAAGATTACAGTTTTGAATACTGCGGAGATCGTGCTGGTTGTGGTACTTCCCGACTGCCTAATCATTGTAAGTTGTTTTTGCGGGGTATCCGGAAGAAAACAAGAGTTGTGTGACAGCTGAGTCCATGGGACATCTGCGGGGTCCGCTTCTTTATCCTTCTCACAGAGAAGGTAACATCGGCATAGTACTGTTGATCATCTTCAGAAAACACCTTTCTGCTGCCGTATTCCCATCTAGTCAACAGTATAGCTTCACGCTCGGGTCCACGTCGTTGCATAGCAAGTTACACTACAGCTGTAAGTGATTTTTATCTCACCACTACCCAATAAACCTTTCCGATATCGTAGGACCTGAAGGGAACAAATGCTCATCAGCATAACTCATTGGGTCATTGTGATATGCAAATCCGATAAACATGTCAAGGTAGCACTTTTGCCTCGAATCTTTTTTCCTGTCAGAGTAATGATTAGCTTATTCTACCGACTCCTATCTACTCACTATTTTATCCTTCTTGTCTCCTCTTGTCTCTTTGTTGCAAATTAATATCTTTCCTCTGCACTGTTTAAGAGTGGATCATTTTTATTGGGTTTGAGTTTGTCTCGGTTGATGACTCCACCCCATCAGTGACTAATTGCTTACCACTTGAATGTGCACAAGGTTGCTGAATTCATCTTGTGCGTTTTCGTTCGCTTATTCACTTTTGTTATAATTTAGAACCGTTTAACACTGAAATGTTTAATTGCTTAAGTATTTATTTGTTTACTTCAGGTTGTCAATCTGTTCAACATTGGTGAATCGTTTTATGGCCAGTTAAGACGATATGAGGGTAATTTAAGCATCAATTTACCATCATTGGAAGTGGATGGAGATGATAATCCTGATGGCAATACAACTCAAATGACACAAGCTTATAGTCAATACCTTAATCAGAGTAGTAAGTAATTAAGGATATTTTTTTCTGATAATATAGCCTATAAAATAGGAATGTTTAGCGGATTACAAACCGACCTGGACGACATTGTTACATAGGCGTATACTGTGTTAGGCTTTAACGGTACTGTCAAGTTAGAATCACAACAGATGAAAGGGGAGGGGATTGTAACTAAATGTTTACAAATCGATTGCATATACCACTGGATCATACTTCGGCTGTTCCATAATTCCTTTCTAGTCTTGACATACACAACTGATTTTGAAATAATGGAGAATATTTATAGCTCAGGTAGATGGTCTTGGTTGTTTTGTGTTCTCTGAGCTGGGTTGTTTAATCGTGAAGCTTTCATCGCCTTGCTAGACGATATCATCAGCACTAACTTCAGTATGAAGTGAGCTGTCAATATCTCTCCATGAGTGTTTTAGTAGCTTGCTCTGACGATGTGGTCTGTGATTGGTTGATTCCTTGGATGACACAACAATCGATGATGATGTCGTCTAGCAAGGCGATGAAAGCTTCACGATTAAACAACCCAGCTCAGAGAACACAATACAACCAAGACAACTGGTTTTGCATGCCAAAAACCTTTTCTCTTTCATTTATTTGCCTGATTTTCCTCTTTTTTGCCTTCAGCAACTCAAATGAACAATATTCGACAGTCTACAATAGCCAACTGTGTAACACTGATTCTTACTGATGGTGTGCATGAAATCAAAGCGATTGAATTCGGTAGTCGATCTTCAGGACCACGATCTTCTAGTTTATCTTTCAGGGAATTATCACAAAAGTTTCGTCCAGGTGTTAAAATTCGTCTACGTGGACCACTACTTCTACGTAATAATGTTCTTCTTGTTCCTCCTGGCGCTATACAATCATTGTCAAGTCATCATTTAGAAGTTTTAGGTGGTGAGGTAATTGTATTGATACATATATATTCTTAAGTTGCATAGCTTTACACTTTCCTTAGATATTTTCATTTGCTCATAGCTTTTTGTTATTACTTTTTGCGATAGTCAAATTTATAAGAATCTTTTGCCAAACCCGAAAAATCTATCGGAAATTATTTTTCAGTGTAACTATCAAGTCACTATGAGCACAACTTAGTAAACTGCATTGTTTGTGGGTTTATCCAGTTCATATAACCTGCAAAGTTTAGAAGGTTTACGAAATATATACAATTCTGATGATATGAGTGCTTGTATACCTCTCACACCGATCAGTGACACTCGTCAGTGAGATCAAGGTGATCTTAACGTCAAACTGCCATTTCATGCATTTTAGGTCGATCTGATCATCATTGTTACCAGGATTGATGCAGCTCAAGTAGCTGAATAGTTTTAAAGATCAGTCACAAGTGCTTATACCAGTTAGTAGTATGTTTTGTGCAGCTTTTATGCTCTGAATATTGACGTCAAGTGTGCTGTCGAACATATTATATGGCCTAAATATTTTGATTTCCATAAGAGAAATTATGTCTAGATTTCTCACCATGGACTGTATGCTTTTCAAACAGGCTGATTCTATTCACAAAAAGATGTTAGACAGAAATATTACTCGTTGGCTTAGGCGCTTAACTTCCAGGTAATTATTACTTAATTTAAGTGTCACTTGATACAATTTGGGTTGCGCAGCTGGGTAATCTCAGAAGACCGCACTATTCCATTCCTTAGTGTATACACATGCCCCGGGTCGCAGTACATTTAAATAAAAAAATGCGTTGGCAGTAATAATCTCGTTAGTAGTGTTTCTGTTGAACGATTTTGTGGAACTGTGTATGCACTTGGTTGGTGTTTGCACATACATTTGAAAATACGTTTATTGAGCAGGTCACTTAGTGTCTATTGGCAGGATTACTAACTCCGGTCGTTGCATGACTGCTTCCGAGATGATCCCTATAGAGTTTCTATCCTTTGTTTGTGTATCTCTCCATTGAATTGAAGGTATATGAATAAGGAAATGTTCATTAGGTCCAGTATTTCTGATATTTTGATAGTGGTATAAGCTTGTAGATCGTTATCATTTTGAAGCATACTTAGGATACTTCCGCTTGTTAGCTTATGATTTGTCGACGTAAGGAGAGTTTTGAAGCGGAAGGAGACCACTGTTTCGTGGTCATATATTTTGACAGCATTGATTTTGTGAAAGGTTCGAGTAGCCGAGTTGATTGGGTTGGTTGATTTGTTGATTAGATGACTCAGTTGTTCCGCTATGTACTTTGATAGACTGTATGGTGGCGTTCCTCAAAGTGAGAGATTTAGTCGAAGAGGTACATCCGGATCATGGATGGTATGGATCTTCAGTCTTCCATAGTATGGTGGAAGTATTGACCCATTTTATCTCATTTGCCACTTACCTACTCTGTTGATTTATCCTTCCTTAAAAAGTTTTACCAACTCATGCTTTGTTTCATTGTCCAGTATTTCGTTTAGACTGCATTCTTGTTTTCTCTTATGCTGTTTTTTCATGGAGTAACTCTACCACCTTTTTGATATATTCCTGTTCGCTTAGTAGGATTCTTGTCTATCTTTTGTTTTCGGGTGGGAAAGCAATATCTTTGTTTCCTTTGAGCGATTTGGACGCCTCTTTGTCCATGCGACTCAAATCGCTTCTTCAGGGTTCGCATCTCATCAGCGGAACTATTATTTGACCAACTACTTGTTGTTTATAATTTGTGAAATTCGTGGTCTTCAGAGATGATTCTAGAGCTGAAAGGAATCCTAGGTGGATAGCATTGCATTGCTTCTGTTGAAATTCAGTCATTTTTCTAAGAAAGCTCTCTCTGAAGCTGAGAGTGATCGAAAAGTAAGGCTTACTACTGTATCTCTGCAACTTTTGTTGTTTGTTGTATTTGACTGCTTTTCTAGTTTCCTACTGAAATTTCTCGTCACGCTTCTCTCCATTTCTTCTCTTCTAGTGGTTTTATTGATAGCTTTGGTCAGTGTTTTGTAGGTGTTTTCTTCCAAGGGACTAATCGAATCGAATCGAATTCAGGTAAAACAGCACGCTATAAATATGCATGCGAAAGGAAATACTTGACTCCTTTATGGAGCTGTGATGCAATTATAACGATGTCTAGCATGACCGAAACGTTAGTCAACTAAAGCCTTGGCTTAAGGAACAATTCAGTGTGAACATATGAAAATCATAAGCTGCAAACACTTGTAGCCGCATGTGGAAGTATGACTTTTTGGCATTAAGCTTTTAGTCTTTTGGTTATAGTTTTGAAGACTGATCTATCGGGATTTGAATAATCATGTAGCGTAGTTGTGTGATTTATATGCGGAGTAAATCCTCCTCGGGACTTTGTCATTCAATAATGCTGTTTCACTATGTGATGTATGTAAAAAAGAACTCTGATGGAATTATACTCCGCTGTAGGCTCGAAATTCTACTCTTATTTTCTGATTATTTCGTGACACTTGGTACCAATGTGAAATACCTCAACTGCTTGAGGGACCGCAGTCAGTATGCTCACTTTTGAATAACCAGGTTCACCTTTTTGACTATAGGTTCGTTCGTAGCATTTCTCGCATATGATAGAATTACCATATCAGCAATGCTGAGGTCTGGCGAAGGGTACTATGTGAGACAGGCAAGTCAGCATTGAGGTTAGGAAGCTCAGTCAACTGAAATGTCTTGGACATGCACTGTACATGCCCAGCCATCGACTACCTCTACCTGCAATGCTGGAAGTCGGATTAGGTAAGAAGTGGGTTCAAAGTCATCAGACCAAGATGTGAGATCAGTGCACAAAATTTTTGAGTGTTGATGAAGATGTAAACTGTCGGGTTGGGGTCTCTAAACAAAGAGAATCAGGGGGTTGAGAACTCTTGTTGACATGACTGAAAATCAGTCACGATGGCGCAGATGCATTCACTCTTTGACTCGTTCTAAACTTTATCTTCAAATTGCTCATCCTGTTACACAACTTTGTCTACCTCGATATCACACTTTTTCTATCCACTTGTTCTTAGCATACTGGTGTGAAGTGTGACCATTTAAACCGATACACTTGTGCATGAGGTTCTACATGGGTTTTGCCTGTCTATCTGTTCATCTACCCGCCTGTTTGGTTCTGAAGATAATCGTAATTGTTGGTATTTAACTAGGTAATATTGTTTAAACCACAATTTACTTTACTGAGCTTTCGTCTGTATATTCTGCCTCACCTGATACACTTCTAGCTAATTTGATTTTATTATTTTTCCAACCTTTTCTTCTTTAATTTCCACTGTGAAGTCTAGTAACTTAAAATGATCTCCTTCTGTGCCAATTTCTACTTTCATTTATCCATCAAATTATTGCGGATACGCTTATTGTATATCGCTGGTCCTGATTGACTTACTGATATAAAGTATGACTAGTTTGACCGTTAATATATATGTCCCAGGTTTTGTATTGTTTTTATATCTGATTGACCTCAAGAAGATGAGAACGTCATTAAGTCGATTCTGTGTGTAGTTTTTTGTAATTTGTGCATTACTGAAAAGTGTTTGACTAAAACAAAATATCCAGCTTGTGTCTTATAGTTTTCATTATCTCTGTCTACTTAATGTCAGACTTTAATGAACTAATCAATTTCTCGCAGTGCAAAGGACACTCAGAATTGTATCATTATCTTTATAGTTGATAGTTGTGTATAATTGAATTATTTTCTGTACTAGGAGTAATCAGTCATATGATTTGCATAGGTTATTGAACCAAACGATGCGATGAAAATCGTCATTTCTGTGTTTTTGTACCAGTATATCAAACAAACTGACACAGAAAAAAGAATGGAATTTTGATCAGCGATATATGTATATATTCGAAGTTTATCACTAACCAACATCATAGTCTGAAAAGTACTTCACATAGTTTGTTGAACATTGAACAAGTGTTTTGTTTTAAATAATACTTTTTGAATTTTGAGGCTCAGGGAGATTTATTGACTTCAGGTTAGTATTCATCACAGTTTAAAATCAGTCAGTGAACCAATGAAAATCTGGTAGCACTGGATAGGTATTTTGTCTTAGTTTGGCATTCCTCAGTAGTATGCATTCATGACCCCGTCGGGGATCGAACCAAGGACCTCCGGGTTTCTTAGCGTGCAGGTTACTATTGGATCCAGCACCAATGACTCGATGGTAGCATGCTTGTCGTGAAACCTGGAGATCCTGGGTTCTACCCCTGGGGGGGGGGGGCACGGGTATGCGTCGCTGGGGAGTTCCCGTACTAGGACGAAACATCTGTTCAGTGCTTCGAAGTTTTAAATGGTACTCTAACTGATGTCAGTCCGTGATGAGTACTAATTTGAAACAATTTTCCAATTGTGCACAACTTGACTAGGATAAAATAATTGTTTTTAACTTCGAGTAACATAGAGAGAAAGTTCTGTCCTTTGAGAATTTAGTCTTATAAATCAGTGACGCTTGTAATAACAAATCGTAATACTACTAACGCTCGGGAATTTGTTCGTCACTCACTATACAATTGAATGTTCTTTCACTGTATGTTTTCAGTTTTAATATAACTTACCTCTGCTTATTTTGTTTCACCATTAGTTACAGTCGATTATTACCAATTCTTCAACTGTTTAGGGTTTACTATGAGAAAATGCTTTCGATTTCTATGATGTAATGAAAATTAAAAGAAAACAGTGGTAATCGGTAAAGGTTTCACTGGGCATAATCTACAACGTGGTTGTAGACTTGGGGTCACTCTGTTCACTTAACTGAATCTTTAAGGGTGGTAGGGGGAAGTTCTCAACATAGAACACTTACGTTCATCCTTTGTCTTATCAGGTCAGAAAGTAGACAATTAGTGATCGTCCAAAAAACTTGATATGCACATGTGTGTAAAATAATGGGTGACAATTGAGGATGAAATAAAAGTCTGGGCCGCGGCAGGATTCAAACCAGGGACCCTCGGG